CCGTTTCCCGATTCTCGCTGTTTTTTTGGGTGAGTGGGAAAGTGTCGCGTCGTTGTCATCACCTGTTCTGAGACGTGAGCCTTCAGCGGCGCGTTCTGGGAACCGGGCCGGCGCGCAGCGCCCGTCGGCCCTGAACCAGTGACGTCACGCGGCTTAGCCGCTTCCGGAGCCGAAGCGGCGCCGCCGAATCGGGCGAGACTCGCTCACGAGCCGAGCTGAAAAGTCCGGCGCTCGTGGATCACAACATCCAGCAGCTCGTCGCATGACGTCACACACCGGCGATTTTCCGCGTCGGCCGATGTTTTCGATGTGCACGTGACTCAGAGCCAGAGCAGCGTGGGTCGGGGGTGGGGCGGGAGGTGGAGCCGGGGGCAGGGGGCGGGGGGCTGATGACGCGCCAGCCGCGTGCAGACTGGACGCTGGCCGGCGGCCGGCCGGTAGTACTGCGGCGCAGGCCGGGCGGTGAGGACGCGCCCTGGATTGGTGCAGGGAACACCGAGTGCCGGCGGTCGGGTCCGACCTGACCGCCTGGCTGCCGCCCCCCGCGCCTGCCTTTCGACCTCTCCGCAGAGCATTCACCGGTGAGTGGACCGGCAGGGTCGGCGTCGGCGTCGGCGTTATCCCGTCTACTGGCGCTGCGTCGCGCTCGCTCTTGTCAGTTAGCGCGGTTCGGCGGGTGAGCGCCGGGAAATCTGTGTCGGCCTTTTCTGACAGGTCGCAGAGGCCAGATTTAACATTAGTTTGTCTGGCTGGCTGCAGCGCGGCTTCGCGTGCTCTGATCAGCTATGATTGTTGATTGGCGTTGTGCAGAGACGAAAGTCCCTGAAAGAAAGTGGGAAGGACCGATATAAACGACAGGGCTCACGTTTCTAAGAGTTCCTTTTACGGCGCCAATGCGCCACGATTTAAATTGCATAAGCATCGCCAGGGACGCCTGATTTTGAGGAAATCATATCCCTAACATAATACAGATGTTGCAATGATTGGATCGCGGGCTCAGTTGTGATCATCGGCCTGTTGGTTGCGTCGCTAATGGTCCGATAACTACAACTTTGAGGTCTAATGGTAATTGATGAAGTATCTTTTTGTGGCATGAAAACCACGGGTAACGCGGGTTTAGTTTACTGCCGTTGCGTATTTGGCTGGGCCTACTATAATTAACCGTGAAGTGGCGAGAGACTCCGACGCTGTTGGCCAGAGAAGTGGCGAGAGACTCCGACGCTGTTGGCCAGAGTAGTGGCGAGAGACTCCGACGCTATCAGCCAGAGTAGTGGCGAGAGACTCCGACACTGTTGGCCAGAGTAGTGGCGAGAGACTCCGACGCTATCGGCCAGAGAAGTGGCGAGAGACTCCGACGCTGTTGGCCATCAAAGTATGCGTTTTACAAGGTGTAGGTGTTGCTATAAAACATCTTTACATCTAAGATCATGATCTCAAAATACGGCGAACTGAACTAGTCATGCCCCATCTAAATACATCACTCGAACTGAAGTTGGCGGATATTATTGTTTGCGAACCACTGAAGACGGTGTGGTCGCAGACTAGCTTTTGTGGGACGCGTCTGATAGACATCGGCTTCCAGCCCTGTCGAATGGTCCAGGCCAATGGTTTGACCATTGGCTCTCCCTTGGCTCGGCTCTCGCCTCTCGCCTCGGCGTGGCACAGGTCACCAAGCAGGATATGGGAAGGGATGGGTATTGGGTCAGTGTGCCGGCTTCCCGCCCTCCGCTGGACGCCCTCCAGAGACGCGGCGGGCACGTCGTGGCACCCCGCACTGGTTGCGGTCGTTAGTCATCGCTCTCACCTGCAAAAAGTTCCGGTGGTGTCCGTGACATTAACCAGCGAGTACTTCTACTTCTCGTGTCCCACTTTTGCGAAACGTGGGGTCACTCCGCCTCCGTTTCACACCGTTGCGCATGTTTCGCTAGCCGCCGCACGTTCGCAGTGGGCAACCGCTGACAACATGCAGCCGTTTTGCGTAAGACTGCGGCGCGTTTAGTGTCGGCTAAAGGCGTCGATGCGCGAGCCGTCACGGACCGATCGAAACGACCGCCGCACGTGACGGCGTCAGAGCCGATCTGCGTGGCGGCGTCAGCGGACTCGTGTCCGCGTGTCCGGTGAGGCCGGGCGTGGCAGCGGTCTGCTCCCACGAGGGGCCGGCGGCGTGAGTTGAGGCGTCGATGCCCAAGCGGCCCGCCCGCGGCCGCCATGCCGAACCGGCGGGTCCCGTCAGTCGTCACTCCTCTGACGTGTGCTAGGCAGAGTTGCCCTGTGGCGGGCGGTGTCTGTCCGTGCCTGTCACCTGCTGGTCAGAGGTGTGCTGTGAGCTTCGCGCCTCATTACTTCCTGGACGTAAGGTGCGGTGTAGACGGATGACGTCCGTTTCACTCCTGCCGAGCTGGGCCGGTCGGGTGTGGCGCAGCGGCCCCTCCGGAGATCGCTGTCGGGCTCGGAGAACCTTGGCAGCGGTCACGGTCCGCCGCCGCTGCCCTCCGCTGAACCCCTCCGCCGAACCCCTCCTTACCACCGCCATCGCCAGCGGCGGGACGAGCTCGGTTGGCCGGAGGGGGCCAACCCATCATCCCGGGCTTGACGGGCGCCGGCACTGGCCGTGTCGCTGCCCTCCGGCTGCGCCCGCGGGCCCGGCGACGCCGCCTCACCGCCGCCCGCTTCCGGTGGCCACTGTGCGGGGGACCTTGAGCCGAGCCGGCCCGGCCGGGACGCGCCGGGGTGTGTCCGATGGCCGCCCGGCTGACCGGCGCCTTTTTGTGGGCCGCGGCTCCCGGCGCGTCAGGGCTGCCCCCGGCGCGCTCGGCCGGCCCCAGCGAGTTTGGCCGGCCCCAGCGTGTGCTCCGCGGCCGCGTGGGCGCAGCGGAACGCGATCATGGCGACAAATCACGGCAGGTGTGTACACACACAGACACGCACGTGCTAACTGTGGAGGCGTGACTGCGTGCGGCTGACGGATCAAGACCGGCCGCCGATGGCACCGTATCTAGGAGGTCGTGGCGGGACGCGCGGCGCAAGCATCTGGCGCGTGGCGCCGGCCGCGGCTTACTGAGATGCTATCGCGGCGGACGGCCCTGCGACTCGGACGCGGCGGCGCGCGGAGGAGAGGCGACGCGATGGAGCGATAACGAGCGGGATGGCGGCCGCCCGGGCACGAGGAAGCGCCAGCCGAACGGCTCCGCCCGGGCCCGCGGCCCCGGAAGCGCCCGCCCGGACCTGACCTGCTCACCTTCTGCACGGAGCGCCCGCCTGGAGCGTGGACACGCCCGGCCCCGCCCGTCACCCGGCGCGGCGGCTCGCTGATTCAGCCGGCACTCATCCGTTACTCACCGCCGTCTGCACGGCGCGGTCGGCTGTGGGAGCGAGCGCGCATGACGTGCTGGGCGTCCTGCTATTGTCAGCCGCCTGGCCGCGGGATGCGCGCTCGGCGGTCCGCCGCGTGGCCCGCTCGGCGCCGGCTTCGACGAACTGGTCCCGAGCCGTGCGCCGGTTAGCTGAGCGGGACCGGGCCGGCGGGCTGGCGCGAGGCCGCGGATGCGAGCCGGCCTCAGGTTCTCGGGAGCGGCGACCGCCGGCGGTTCGCTGCAGAACAAGGGAAAACCGCGCGTGCCGCGTCGACCTGCCGCCGGCGGACGCTATTTGACCTTGAGCACACGGCAGGCGGACTCGAAACTGGCACGAGGCTTGGTGAGGACGACTGGTGGGTCGCTGAAAACGGTTGGGCTAGACGGATCAAAGTGCACGTGAGCCAGGGACGCGCTACGCACTACAAGAGGGCCCGGAGGTCGCGTGTGGTTGTCAAATTACGAGAGATGCGTCTACATCGCGCGGTGCCACATATGCGCACATTTGGCAATTTGAGAACCGCAAATAACTTGTGCAATAACGTATGCACTCTCCGAATCACCCGCGCCTGGACCCCGCATTCTTGCCCCGAAAAAGCTGCCGGAACGGGCGTCATCAACAGAACGCGTCACTGCGCATTCCCATTTCGACTGCGGCCCGTGTGGCCGCTGACGCACCTGGCATGTAGGGTTCTGGAACCGACACTGAGAACTGTTCACATGAAAACCGCGTTACATCTGACCTCAAACTTGTGTGACAGTGCGAGGGTGGGGCGTTGTGGGAATCAGCATTGTTCATGCACGTGCATGTGAGGATTGTCACATGCATAGGATCGTACAGGTCGGAAGAAAAAAACCGGTGTTCCCGCTCGGACTGCTGTTTTTATGAGACGCTTGCTACGCTTCCTTGTTTTCCTGCATCGATGACCTTATGCGTGCGCCTACATTTGTCTTCGCAAGAGTCGCCAGTGTAAAGTGACACGGCTTTCCCGGTCACAAGACGTGTTTGCTTCCACAAAAAACCGCGCACTGCACCGGTTTCATTTGCCCTACCTGATCAAGATATGATAAGAGGGTGGAGCAGCGCTGGTGTTTGCCCCCCCCCCCCCCGCATCCCCACACCTCCCTTCTCCGCCAACATTGGCATCTGTGTGCCTTGGCATTTGTGTGCCCTTCCATTGTCCACCCGCCAACCGTCCTGTTTTCCCCCAGAAGGCCCCATCCTGTTCTGGTTTTCCACCTCTACGCTTGGCTGCCATCGTGTCCTGCGGGCCATGCGCCCTGCTGACCTCTTCACCCCAGCCACGTGCCCTGCTGACCTCTTCACCCCCGCCACGTGCCATGCTGACCTGTAAGCCCCTGTTACGTACCATGCTGACCTTGCAGCCCCTGCCACGTGCTATGTTGACCTCTTAGCCCCTACCACGTGCTGTGCTGACCTCTTCGCCATTGCAACGTACTTTGCTGACCTCCGTGCCCCTGTCTCGCCCCCGGCTGATCTCCGTCCCCCTGTCTCGTCCCCCGGCTGACCTCCGTCCCCCTATCTATCCCGTCCCCCGGCTGACCTCCGTGCCCCTGTCTCGCCCCCGGCTGACCTCCGTGCCCTTGTACCGCGCCCTGCTGACGTTACCTGCCCTCCGCCGCCAGATCCGGACCATGTGCTGCGCCTGCCCCGCGCCAGCCCCTCGTCCATGGCGAGCGCCAGACGCCTGCAGCCGCTGCCGCGCCTCTCGCGCGTGCGCTCCCTCTCGGCGCCGCTGACTTACTCGGACCCGGCGCACCTGGCCGACTGGGACTGGAACGGCTGGGACGAGCGGCCCGTCGCTGACGGCTCCGTGCCTCCCACCGCCTTCTCGTTTCGGCAGCGCGCCGCCGAAAAGCAGCGCAAGCGCTCGTCGGCGTTGGACGCGACCGCCGCGCAGAGTCTGGGCGGCCAGCGCGTGGCCGGCGCACGATCCTCACCGCTCGTGCCGCGGCCGGCGCGACCCGAGCCTGACTACGACGACTTCCGGCGCCAGCTGAGCAGCGACCGCGAGGACGACTACGCCTACGCGTACGACTGTATCGTGTCGCCGGCCGAGGTGATCCTGTCCGAAATGGACGGCGAGCTGCCGGGCGACGGCTACGCCTACGGCGGCCGCGAGAACATCTACGAGGAGCTGGACGGGGTGGCGCGGCAGGCGGCCGAGCCACCGTCGCCCGGGCCGCGCTACTCGGACCCCGTGCACTCGGAGGTGGAGCGCGTGCAGCGCGTGCACAGCCAGGTGCTGGGAGAGCTGCGTCTGGACATGGAGGCCATGCTGATGCCCAGCCAGCGGTGGCGGCACCTGCACGTGCCGGTGGGCCCCACGGACGAACTGCTCAGCCCGGACTCGGGCTTCCAGTCGGGCTCCGGCTCAGGCTCGACGGTCGTCTCCAACTACGACACGCCCAACGGGCCGCGCACGGTGGTGGTGCGTCCGCCGCACGCGCCCAGAATGCGCAAGTGCGAGTCGCTCGACCTGAAGGACGCTCTGGCACGGCACAAGGCCAAGGCGGCGTCCAGCGCCGGCGGCGAGAAAAGACTCTGGAAACTGACCTCTGTGATAAGTGGACTGTTGGGTAAGTACCACCAGAGCCGGAGCAAGCGACGACGTCCCGTGAGCCCGCTGTGACGTGCGCTCGGCTGCACCGCCTGCACGCGCCTGCACGTGCCTGCGCGTATCGCACGCCTGGCACTGCCGCGTGCACCGCCTCTGGTCCGCAAACGACACCGACAAACATGCTCTCTTGCCGCCCCAGACATCGCGTTTCCGTCGATCGTTGTGAAGAGTTATCGCCGTTTTTGTCCGAGTGAAAGGGGTATCGTCGTGGGGCGGCCCGTCCAGGGGTGGGAACTGGTCGCATTCTCGTGGCGCCTTCGAGCGCGGCGGTTGGCGAGTGGGCCGTTCCCTGTTGGGAATGGCGCCGTCTCCTCGTTTGTTTTACTCATTAGTCCTAGTCACGTCCCTGCTCAAGCCCCACCCTGCTGACGTCAGTCGTCACGTGACCCGGTGTGACCATGAGCGTTGCCTTCTGTGGTGTGTGCTCGGTAGAACCGGAATGACTCTCTTTCTGTCTCCGTGTGTTGTTGGTTCTCAATACAGTATTATCTCTCACAGCTTGTTTGCTGCTTACTCTGGCGTTTGGTGCATGACGGCGCCCGAAGAGCCGCGGCGTGTCGCCTTCCTGTCAGCATGGTATTGGCCTCTGCGGCGACATTTCCGCATGGAGTAATCATTGGAGGCAGCGGGCGTAGCCGGCGCGTGGGCCGCCCCGCTCGCTCTCAAAGTCGAGGTCCCACTCTCGAGCTGAATGTTCCGCGTGACCTTGCATGAATGGTCTCGAATGCCTTTCCATCGAGCGTCAAGCGCCGCGACACTTCCTTATCACCTTGAATAACTTGATATATATTTCGCTATCAGCCGATGTTTGTTAAAGTGCCACGAAACGGAGGTCAGTCGAAGCCAGTCGGCGCGTTGGGTGTTTGCGCCAAGAGACGTCCCTGTCCCTCACGCGGCGGAGGGGCGTCACCGCGCCTCCTGCCGTAGAGCAAACAGCCTCCATCACGCTCTTCCGCCCGCCACTCACCCGAATCAGCGCTACTAAGACATGCATGCCTGACTCGGCGTCTCTGTTCCGAAAATAGCCTCCTGTGCGCCGTTCGGCGTGCGGTCGTCACGGGCCGAGGGCCATGGTCCGGCGCCGGAGCGCGCCGGCTCCCGGGGAGCGGCTCGGCAGGGTCCGGCGGTGGTGTCCCGCTGAGGCCGGCCATCACCCGTCAGCTGGCCAGACCGAGCTCAACAGGCGCCGCTCCCCCGCCGGCCGGCTGAGTGTCCACACACCCTCTGCCCCATGGCCGGCTGGGTGTCCACACACCCTCTGCCCTGTAGCCGGTTGGGTGTCCACACACCCTCTGCCCCATGGCCGGCTGGGTGTACACACACCCTCTGCCCTCCATAGCCGTCTGTGTGTTCCACACACCCTCTGCCCCATGGCCGGCTGGGTGTCCACACACACTCTGCCCTGTAGCCGGTTGGGTATCCACACACCCTCTGCCCCATGGCCGGCTGGGTGTCCACACACCCTCTGCCCTGTAGCCGGTTGGGTGTCCACACACCCTCTGCCCCATGGCTGGCTGAGTGTCCACACACCCTCTGCCCTGTAGCCGACTGAGTGTCCACACACCCTCTGCCCCATGGCCGGCTGGGTGTCCGCACATTCTTTGCCCCATGGCCGGCTGCTTGCCCACACACGCTCTTTCCGTCTGCTCGTGGACCTTCAAAAGAACCCACACAAGTTAAAGTAATATTATGTTATCTGTTCCCAATTCACGGGGAACATATCTGTCCTCACATCTGTTCCCCATGCACTGGGAAAATATGCAACGCTTGATGCTGGCGTCCTGATCTGCCCTGGAGAGCGGAGTTGTGTGATGGAGTCTTGACCTGCCCTGCGGAGCAGCTGGGTGACAAAGTCCAGAGTCAGACCTGCTCTTGGGATCAACATGTGTGCCGAAGGGAATGTTGCCTGACCGGCTATGTCCCAAACCGCGGATCCCCGCGCCTTCGGCTATTGAGGCCCACGCCAGTTCAATGTGAAACGCTGCACTAGGCGAACCTTTTTCATCTCGGTTCGGCGGACTTGAATAGGCTCAAAAGCCGGATAAAATTCTGCCATGACACCTTCATTGTGGACCTAACGAATGGGTATTCAACAAAACGGACGGACCCGGTGAATACGGTTCTGAGGCGGCGCCTTTCTGGGGTCAACGACCGAGTGTCCACTTTGACCTGACCTATGACTTCTGCCAGCCGTAACTCGCACGCATGGTTTGCACTGAGCACTTCACCACTACCACTGCATGTTTTTTTCGGGATTTCTGGTGACCCTGCACCGCACAGTGGGTTTGAGAACCTGCATTTGGGAGAATACACCGAAGGTGAGTTCCCTGTCGTGCAAGCGCTGCTGCTGCGAGGCTGGCGAACGCTCGCTTCCGTTCCAACCTCCCTACAGATCTTCTGGTTCTACTCCGATACCTCGAGCCGGCGGTCAATACGGCAGGTGAGTGGTCGCAGCGGCGATCTTACCAAACGAGTGCTACCGCGGTCGCAGCACCAAACCAACGTCGCAGCCCGCCCGTCCGTCTTCCCTGAAAGGCCCGCCGCGTCGCCCTCTCCGGCCTGGGCGTCACGCGCACCAGCCGGCACAAAACGCCTCGAGGGGCGCGCTTCTTTACGTGCCTGCGCCGGCGGGGCGCGGCGGCGACTTTCGCCGTCACTCAGAGCTCTCCGGACGGGCGCGGCTCGCCTGAGCGGCGGCACCGGTCGACCGAACGGGAGCGCGCCGCAGGTCACGGCCTGGTGGCCGGTCAGGTCGCGGCTCGGTGACCGGTCGGGTCACATCTCATCACATCCGCGGGGGCGCGGCGCAGCAGCCGACGGCGACGGCCGCCGCCGGACGCCGCTCCAGACGGCGGTGATTTGTGCCCCGGGCGGGCGCGCGGGATAGGCGGCGGCGCCAGGACCCCGCGGTGGCAGGCACCGCTGCTGCGCGTGATTTATCGCACACCGACGCGCGGGTGGCTCTCCGCTCTCGCCGCCTCACAACGGATTTTCTGTTTTCGGTTGTTTTCTCGGAGTAACGGGGCGCTTTCCACTTCGATGTGTTAATGGTTGTTTTGGTGTCCCGCCGCGCTCAATGAAGTCAGCGCTCATCTCGGTTGAAGCAAAGGCAAAGTGGCCGGATTTTCATGGTGCCTGAACGGGAACACTGAGCTGTTTCTCACTCAGAATGGTCTGTGGTCGAACGTCTCAAAACAATTCCAGCGTTCAACACGCGACCAGTGTTTGGTCGTGCACGCCGGGATTTGAGTGGCGCAGAAACGCGCAATGCATGAGTTGGATTCCGAGTGAGGAATATATTGGCGCCTACGTGACTGCCCATGCGTTGTATCTTTTAATATGCAAATCAAAGGTGTCCCTGACTTTCATGTGCTAGTTGGTGCAAACCAGCCATTGAATTTGTGGTCGTAGTCACCCGTCCTTGTCTTCAGTTTGGCAGTGAAGGCGTTGCCTATTTTTAGAACATACATGCAGTCCATTTTGTGTCACGGAACAGTTTGTCACACTTCTTTTCTGCCATTCTCCCGGTAAACAAGAGTGCATGCCAACTTGAATTTTGTCATGTATACAGCGATGTGTGGTATGTGTACCGAATACTAGGCTTTCCTGAGGAAAACGGAAATCTGAGGACCATTCGCAAAAATAAGCTACAGAAGCATTTTGACGTACCATGTTTCCGCTGGTACGCATTAACTCCCATTGTTCGATTTTCTCGCTCGAATGCTAGTTTAGAAGAATACTGATCCCATTCGGCGCCATTGGCAACATCACAGACGTTGGTGTTTTTCTGTAAGTTCAAAACGTGCATCAGTCAATGTCAGTCTTGCAAATAAGGTCACTCTTTGTCACACCGATTTATCCATAGCACGTTCCTCAGTCAGGGCATGAATGAAGCTAAGTAACTGTGAGTGAGATTGGAATGAAAACCTCTGGCACAAATGAACACCGGGCTTGGTTGGCTCGTGGTTTGACGCCCATAGCATGAGCCAGTTCTGTGCTTCATCCGTGATTATCACGAATAGTTTATCGTGAAAAATGCCCAAAATTGTGAAGCATGTCGACATAGGCTCACGTGACCAGGGGACTGCTTTGCCCGTATGCTGTCTTGTCAGCTATAGCGCCCTCGTGCATATTGCTCCATTGTTCAATAGCTAAGTTTGGACGCGATCATTTTTTTTTTGTATACACAAAAAATCGTCTCGAACCCATTTCAGCATTTTGTGTTTTGTGTTTCTTTTGTGTTTTGATGACCGGTGCGTTACATCGAAACGCACTCTTTCACGAAGTGGTTGTCAGCTGTTGGAACGATAGAAATCGGTCCAAATACGGAAAATAACTTAATGCTCTTGGGGCAGTCTTAGAAACAATTTGACAGCGTCTCAAGGTGCTAAATGTGAATAATTCACCAGCCAAACGAAGACGGTCTGATTCTGTGTAAGCAACTGAGTCAAAAATGTCCAAACCAAACAAAACATAAGCGATAGTTCATTTAGCAGCATATGCTGAACGGTGTTATGAAACCATGAACTTTTGGCGATCGGTTTTAGCCGTTTGGTCCGACTCAATTTTCAAACTACTGCTCAAATAAAACCAAGTCGTTACAACCATAATGATATCGAGCGACTGCCCGGTAAAAGGTGGTTGCTAGCCCAGCGCAGACGGCCTCGAATCATTAGGCGGTAACAATGACACGGGTAAAACATCACCGGCCTGTCGGATCCACCTCAGTGCGCCCATGAAATAATCACTACTCATTTAGCCGTCACAGTGTCGTCAGCCGTTCTGGCTGAATGCACACCCAGTGAGCCCGACGCTCATGCAAACGAGGTCCGGGTGGAAAACATCGCTCACCGTCCGAGCCATGCGCGCGTCGCCTATCGCCACTGGCCTTTTGATTTCCCAACCCGCCGCTGGCGAATAATGACGTTTTAATTACGAAAAGTTTCTTCTGACCTGCGCAGGGACGCGAAGTGGACGGCATGTGGACATCAGCCACCGATCGCTGATCCCTCACGGAACAAAAAACACGCGACAGGGAGCGCACATGGCTTGGGTTCAGCTGTCGGCCGCAGCTTGGCGTGATCCACACCATGTTGTGACGGGTCATGACGGGCCTCTCCGTTTGGTGTCCTGTGGCTCTCCGTGATTGGACATGCTGACCGCGCGTAAAAGCTGAGGCCGATTGTAAAACACGATCGCTATGCTCCACGCGACTGAATCCGAAGCATGCAATGAGAGCAATGAACTTATCTCGCCCGCCTGGCATGCATGGAACACAGGCATGACCGTGCGGGCCTGTCCTAGTTGTGAGTTCTCACGGCTGTTTCACTTTAGGTTCCAAGAAAAACCTGCGAAGGAAACCTGAGGGTGCCTTTCCTACCTGCCCGCCTTCGCGTGATCCGTTAATGAATTGCTGAAACGCGTTCACCGGGAGGAAAAATGTTCGCCAGTTGGCCACAAAAAGTAAAGCGCTTAACATGCGAAGGCTGTCTTGG